CTTTTCTTTTTACACGTAATAGATGCTCTTTTCAAAATTGTTGGATCGCGAGCCATGTTTTTTTAAGAAAAAAAAATAATTTGCACATCGAACAAATAGATTTTAACATGTACAAATATTTATTTAAGGCAACCGTGATTTGTACCTTCCATATTTTATACCCTCTGTACATTAACTCCTCCCTACTAAAATACCTCCTCCCATATAATATACCCTCCTAGGTACAATTCATGTTTTCAGGTGGTGGGGTATAACATATCCCGGGTATTTTGTGTGGCAAATTACAGTAATCTCAAGAAAGCTCCAGAAATTTCCGTAACATTCTAGGAGATTCTATGAGCTATTTTGGCTAATGAGTTATTTGTGCTAGAGGTGTTTATCAGAGGTGGTGACCAGAGGTATTAATTAAAGGTGTCAACCAGAGGTGTCGACCTTGCATTACAATAAAAATGATCTACATCTGTTACTCGTAAATAATAGTACTAATATATAATGTTATACAAATAAAGAAATCTAACTAATAAACTAATATAATAATGCTAATAAAAATATATATAAAAATTAAGAAATAAGGTTAACAGTATCCAATATGTCAAATTTTAACCAGTATATTTTGAAACTTCAAAATAATTTTTTGTGCAAGTATAATAGAGAACTTTCTATAATAGTTACACCTTTATATAAGCACATTTTTTGTATTCCAAAGGTGACTATAATACAAAATATATTTCTATCTTTCAAACTTTTTCAAAAGTAATATAGAAAATATAGAAAATAAATATTATTTTTTAAAACTTTTTGTAAATATTTAATAAAATAAATAAAAAATTAATTATTAAATGTGAATAAATATGTGAGTGTCAAATAATAATGCAGTTCAAATATATCCAGATATTTTGTCAAATAAAATTTCCTGATGTCATATTGTGAAAATATTTGTAAAAATTTGTGAAAATTTGTGAAAATTTTTGCCTATTATAATTTTCTGACATGGTTTAATTTATTAAAACTTCAAACAAATCTTTTTAACTTTAAAATTATCAGTTTTTTAAAGTTTTATAATTATTTACTTCATACTTATCGAATTATAGCTTTTAGTAATCTAATATTTAATATTGAAAAAGAATCTTGATATGTAAAAAGATAGTATTCATAAAATTCTATATGAAATAGTAATAGCATTTTTGTTATTAAAAAGGCAATTATTTTTTATGACTTAATTTCAATAGTAATATTTTAATATTTTTTAATATTTTAAAATCTTACTTTTTTTTTTTTTTACAAAATTTCAGCTTTATTTAAAGATACCTAAAAATTATAGTTACGCAAACTTAATAATAGTACATTTGACTTGTCAATTAGAGGACATGCACGCTGACTGTTAAGCTAAGTTCCAGAGTTCTTACTCCAGTATTATTTCTATTTCATGTATAAATGCAAGTTGATTATTTCAAGTGGAATTTTGTAAAGAGTTTTAATTTAATTATAGCATATATTCATAGGTTGTATTTTCTCATTCAAATAACTTTTTTATTTATATATAGTAAAGGCAATGTCAATAATGTAGTTGTGGCATATCTTCAAAAATAAAATTCTTAAAAAGCAATTATTAAAACAAATTTTCCTATACGGTATCGATTGATCTCAACTAGATTCAAAAAATTCCTTTTATTTAAAATTTGTTTTTCGAAATAACTAAATTAATAGTTTAAAATGATTTTAATACATCAATATACAGTTAAATAAGATTGGATGAATGTTTATTCACCACAGTTTGGTGAAAAATATAAATTAAATTTTCGTACGATATTTTGATTGAGATATTAGATCAAAAGTACAATTCATTTGAATTTATTGCTGAAATTATAATTAATAAATCCATTTTTTATTTATGCAACACATTTATTTTAGAATTATATTATTATTGAGAATATGAATCGAATCCCATTAATTATAATGTAAACCAATAAATTTATCACCGGTAAATTATAATTAAAATTTGTACTCTTCCTCTTCATCCCCTCGCTCTACATCATGTACATACATGCCAAATTCCATACTATCTTCCATTATTTCTCTTGCTTCATCTAATGTAATATTTCCGCGATCTTGTGCTATTAATCTTATCGCAGTTTCAGGAACTAATACTTGATTTAAGTATTCCAGAGGTTCTTGCGGTCTGGTCATCTCCGTTGTTAGCAATCTGGAGTTCATGAAGAGGGTCATTAGAGTAGATATAATGACCGATGAACCTTTGGAACCATAATATCCTGGCTTTAATCAAAAAAAAAAAGCAATAATAATAATAATAAATTATTAAATTATTTAAATTCTTTAAAAAAAGATTAAATAATATATGAATGCACAAGAAGAAACCTGAAACTTTTGAAATCTCCCCATTAACGCAATTGGTCTTCGTGCCCTGGCTCTACCTAATTCTTTATAAGTCTCCATTGCCATTTCCCTAAACATGCTCTTCCTTTCCCCAGTCACTACCTTCATTAATTCAGTAAACATACTTTCAACGCGAATAGGTAGATTATCAAAGTCTATTTTTAAGGGATAGTTTTTCTGCAGTCCAACTGGAACGATATTAGATTCTGCGTCATGAATACGACAAAATTCAAACTGATCTACAACGTTTGTAGGGTGATTAAGGAGTATTGATGGCGATGGTGGCTGACTGGATGCTGAATCGATACTTGTTAAATAAGCTCGGATTCGCTGCGGAAGTGGTTCCGGAAGTACCACATTACAATATGGACAATATTTTTTTCCATCAGTTGAATCTGATATTTAAAAAACATTAGTGATCTTTTTATCGAATTTTTTTTAATCAAGATAAAGTGGAATAAAAATTTACCTCCCCGTTTTCCGTCAGGTTCGGGTGTATCTTCATCAGATGAAAAATCTACTTTTGGCAAGTTATCATATTTCCTTATCATTGGTGAAGGAACCCTAAATACATTGTTGTTATCATATTTATCGGAATCTACATCACTATTTGTTAGATCTATGATATCAGTTGATTTTTTCGATTTGTTCGGTTTTTTTGATCTAGTTGACCTGGTTGATCTGGTCAATGAAACGAGGGAACTACAGGTGGCTTCTGTAGGGGATACGCTCCTCATCTGACGGCGCAATTTTCTTACATCATGTATTGATTGATAATTATTGTTAGAATCCGATAATGGTTCTTTATTGAATTTTCTTAATGGATTTGAATTAAGAAGAGATTCTTTCTTCTTTAAAGTTACACGCTGATTGAAATTGGTAGAATTGGTTTCAATCTCACTATCCGCATCATTGTCATTAACATAAGCAGATTTCAAGGTCATTTTAGTTCTACGTTTTGTATTAGTGTTTGAGAAAGATGTAACAATACGATCAGCAGCTTTGTTGTTAAGATCATTTTCAAATAAAGTTCGTTTAGGGGATGGTCGTTTAAATCCATTCTTTGATGGTCTTGGAATATAATCATCAAAAAAATTTGATCTAGGGCGTAATGATGATGATGATGATGAAACATTGGTAGATGATTTTTGATCAGAATCATTTCTTTTTCTTAGATATTCTGGTTTTGGGGATGGAACTCGAAATTTATCTGTTTTTTCGGCTTTTCTTTCAAGTGATTCTGGTGAAGGCAATCTGAAATTCTTATTATTTTTATTGTTATCTATGTAAACTATCGGTTTATAGGATGGTATTTCTAAGAAACTTTTAGTGAGTTGTTTGGGTTTTTGTCGAGAAATACTCGCGTCTTTTCGTGAAACCATATTATTATTCAATAAAACTTCAATGTCTGAACCCGTGTCAGAAGACATACTTTCTAATACTGAGTTAGATAATTTATATTTACGTGGTGAAGTGGAAAGGTAATCTTTTGTTATCGAAGTAGGTTTTTTTAAGGTTGAAGAGAATGGCAAAGATATACCTTCTGATGTTTCAGCGTCAACACCTATATTTTTTCGGTGTTCGCTTGAAGTTGTGACTTTATCACGCCTTCTCAAAAGCGAATATTGACTCATTATGCATAAAAAATACTTAAGAGATAATTTATTATGGAAGGAGACAGCATCAGACGCGTCATAAAATTATTTATACCTTTACCACAGTTAACACGTGATACTGTTCTTAACTAAAATTTTTTATACGAGATATAGCAGTAAATATCTTAATCCTGAAAAAAAAAATCTCAAGACATAAAATACAAATGACAATTCACAAACACCTGTTTGATCACAAAATACGTAACTATTCTGTCATCTTGCTTGACAATTTGATTAATCTCAATTTTATATCAACGATTCTTATCATTTTGTAAAATTATTTGGAAAAGTCAGTCAAAAAAAAAAAAGGAAATTAAACTTTACCGTAGTGTTCGTAGCATTCGTAGCCGTAGTATTTAAGACTCGAATATTTTTATCAACGCACTGTAACACATTATACTGTAATTAGCATATATCAATATAATGTTCAACATTTATTCATTATTTTGTTATTTCTTGTATAATAACAATTTTTATATTAACTAATTATGGGTAAATATTTAATTATTATTTTAATGAATATTTTGTTCCATTATTAAAAATTATTTAACATTATTAAATTGGTACAAATATTTTCATAACATTAATGAAAATTCAAAATAATTCTTTACACAACATACAACCAATTGCAAAATTTATATAATTCATTTATATATATATATATGTATATAGGTAATTCATTTAAACCGTTATCACAAGATTGTTATGCAATATTCTCCCCCTGTCAAATGATTACGTCACCATGCACTTAAAATGTGAGGGAGGGCAAAGTTAGGATTGGCGCTTTGAGTTTTTAATAGATTTCATTGTTGTCACATTCTCCTTAACATATCCAACATACCTGCTAAAGTTTTTTTTTTTTTTTTTTTTTTTTGTGTCTTAAATAAACAAGGCATATATTCAAAACTTAAATAAATTCTTATTTTAAGCTTTTTTATTTTCTATCTGCTACATTCTGTTCGCATATTACACATTTATATATATGATATACAGTTTTGTACACTTCGTGCAACATCCCGACAATAAAGTAAAAAACTTCTTTTAAAAAAAACATTCGGGCTCCTTGCGAAAAAAAGCAAAAGATCTCAATGTCCCAAATTTCAGAGTCAATACAATCTCGACAAACCTCTTTTTTACCTTCCGCTGAGCGGTTCGGTCCTACTGTTAACCAAACTTTTGCCCACCATGTAGAGACTCTTCGTAAACTTGAAGAACCAATATCGAATATTTATCTTTCTTTATCAACTGAACTCCCTGTATCAAGTCGCATAGAAACTTTTAATGCTTCTGCAAATCAAATTAACCTTTGGCTTGAATCTGCTAATATCGCTATTTTCGCATTAGAACTTGATGTTAAAGAAGGTTTGCAGGTAAAAAGTGTAGGTGAAATGGATGTATTAATTCATAAATTTGCTCCAAACATTGAATTGTTACAAGAACTTTTGCAAGCAATTCTTATTAAACTAACAAACTCCGACGACGATGAGAAAAATAGAAAAGAGATCCAAAATTCTTATGATAGAATAAATTCTGACTGGCTGGATGTAAAATCTTTTTTTGGAAAGGTAAAAAAAGAAATGTCTGAATCAAAACAAAGACGCGAACTTTTGGATACAATGAATCAAATTATAAATTCTATAGACGAATTAAATACTTCCATTTTTGAATATCAAGAACAAAGATTAAGTGAAAGTAATTATGATTCTTATTCCTCCAGTCCATCTACACGAGGTAGACAAGGTATATTAAGTAATGGTACCAATAACGAACATAATTCAAATAATTCTAGTTCTCGAGCTGATAACCTTATAAGGCAATTGGACTCTCGTTTAGAACCTTTAGATGCTCGTTTGGTTTATTTGAGGTCTCGTTTATCCGCAACTAATGCTCCTTCTGATCCGAAAGGTGAATTGAAAAGAAAGAATAAAGTTATGACAGAAAAATGGGATGAATTAAAACATGAGATGGAAATATTAAGAAAAGAAGTTAAAGAAGATAAATGGTTAAATGGTTTTAAACAAATATTCAGTGAAGTCAATCAAATGATGGATAAACTTGAGAAAGTGGTTAAACAATGTAAAGATTATATTAAAATACAAAAAGAAAATAGAGGAATGTCAAGATATAATCAAAGAGCTTTTTCTAGAGACCTTAATCCCAAAAATTTATCATCAAAACCTTATAAAATTTTTGAAAATAAACGAAAATATTATATTCCTGCAATAGATAAAATGCTCACTAATCTTGCAAATGATATTAATAAACAAAATTTAGAAGATTATGAGGTTATTAAAAAATACAAATATATGAAGGAACGTTGGACAATATTACTTGAAAGCATTACAGATATTGATCATGATGTTTCAGAATTAGAAGGATTTTATGATCACTCACCTCATTCTCCTCACTCCTCACATATGACAAATTATTCACCTCCATCGTCAATAGCTTCATCCATAGCTTCATCACCTCCATTGTCTCCAAATTTGAGACCAACAACGAGAGATATGTATTCTCTAGAATCAGGATCTCCTCCTCCAAAAGTACATAGATCATCATCCCGATCATCTCCATATAGAATAATGTCTCCAGAATATCATGAACCATCATTATCACCACCAAGAAATAATGCTAGATCACCATCTGTAAGGTCAAAATCGCCATCACCAAGAGCGATAAGTCCACCACGTAATTATTTAACTCCCAATAATCGTCACGCAGAAAGTCCACCACATCATTACGAACGACAACATTGGAATTCACATTCACAATATAATAATGGTTCCTCATATAATACTTCACATTCTTCACATTATAATCAACCATATAATAATAATAATCAATCATATAATCAACCATATGATAATTATAATCATCATTCATACAATCGTGAACATGGAGCATCTCCACAACCAAGAAAAGGAAGACCTTCTAGTAGACCTGATTCACCTACAAGATCATTAGATTTAACAATGACTCCATCATCTGCTTCCTCTATACCACGACCTGTTACAAGTATGGGAATTGTAAATAGAACATCATCACGGGCTGGTATGAGATCACTTCTACCAAAACCTAGTACACCACAACCATCAATGTATCGTAATGGGATGGGATCTCCAACGCCACCACCAATACGGCGACCATTAGTAAGATCCCCTACACCATCTTCTCAAACAAGTGGTCCTTCTAGACCTATCACACCGGAACATGATGATTCGTTATCACAAGCTCTTGCAAGTTTTGGACTCACTAAGACTGAAGATAATAAAAATAAAATTAAATATATTCCCTTGCGAAATGATCCAATTGATGTTGAAGTTGCAAATGTGGTTAATCGTTCTTCAACTACTATAAGAATTGAACGAGTTCCTGGAAATACTGGTAGATATTATATTGGAAACGCAGATCTAGGACGTGACAGAAAAGTTTATAATATCAAATTAGCTCCAGGAAAAAAAAAACCTATGATTCGAGTGGGAAGTGGTTGGACGCAGTTAGATTGGTACTTGTTTGACCAAAATGCAATGTCTCTCATAAGTTAATAAGAATAATTAAAAATAAGAATTAAAAAAAAAACATTTTTATGCTCAAATAATAATAATAATAATAATAATATTTTTATTATGAAAGAGTATCAAACAGATATAAATAGATATAAATTTACTGTCAGCATTATTTATTCAAAATTTTGGTTTCTTATTTCCTCAAAGTATTGGACATTTTTTTTTATTGTGTATATATATATATATAGAATTTTTGAATTTTTTTTTTAATATATTCTGTTTTTTTTTGATATTTGTCCTTTGAGCAGTAAAAATAATTAATTCCCTTTACAAAAAAAAAAGTATCAATAAATCTGAGGAAAAAAGATATTATTAAAAAAATAATAATTTTTTTTTAATTTTAGTATTGATCCAATCTCTATTACTATCACTTGTTTATTAGATATTTATTATATCATCAACAGATAATTTAATTAGTCTAGTTAATTGTTAATATTTCCTTTTTTGAATTTCAGCACCAGACCCAGTGCGACGAAGTCCTAATCTAGTTATTCAAATCTACAGCCAACCGGAACGGTTTTTGTCATGTGATATGTACTTTTTACGCGATTGCAATGAAAAAATTATTCAATATACATAATATACTTATTATAATGTCCATTCACGAGTATTTCAAAAAGGATCCCGAAGTATGGAATGTTCTTGACTCCTTGGAAGAGAGCAATATAGAACCGTTTGATGAAATTGACCACTACCTTAAGAGTCTCGAGATAATTTACGTTTTAGAGAGAAATAAAAAAAAGAATAAGACACAACTGTTGCTCGATAGTTACAGGAAGGCAAGTATATGGTTTTGGATTATGTTAAACTTTATATCATAAGGCACGGATTTCCAGCTCGTTTTGTTCTTGATACGGCCTTGTTAGAGTGCAGGCAACCTTTTAGTAAATTTCTAGGTTGCTTCTATTCTGCATTCAAGTTTTTAGCTGGTCCTGCCTTCACAAATATTCCATTCCAACGCATATTCCTTCTACTTACGTTTTTTGGCAGCCGGCTCATTCTGATATTCTGGTATGTCAAACTATAAATACAATAAAAATTGGCTATTAAAAATATTCAGTTATTACTCCGAAAAGATTATACGAATTTAAATATTTCACCTCTCCTATTTCTACTGATAATTTCTCGCGCTTTTTAGAATTAACTGCAATCTAGAAAGAAAGATCTTGATTAATATGAATAGTAAGAACGTAATGATAATAGAAGGCAATACCTTATCCTTCTAGTAAAAATTAACTATTTCGACATGCAGATAAAAAAAATGCAATCGGATATAAATTGTCCAGAAACGAAAGTCCATTCTTGTTCATATTTGCAAATCCATTAATATTCTCACCGTTGATTGTCGGTTGGTGAAGATATACCTTACTGTTAGATCTTCCATTATTCCAAGTTCTCGCACTTTTACGATCGCGTCTATAACCCTAGTGTAAAAAGAAAGTTTTTTCAAAAAGACTCCTATCTGCTAGCACGGTTAGAAACAGAATGGAACGACCTAGAAAGTAGCCTGTGCGCCAGCAGGACCAGTGTTGGGTTGGCTTTAACCTCGAACGCAGAACGGCTTGACCTATAAAGTCTCCTACGCCCCCCAATAAAGGCCGGTATAAAAGCCACCCACGCCTTAACAAAATTTTGCATTTCCAAAATAAAAAGCTCCAAAAGTCTTATACTTACTTTTTTGTACTTATCGAGCAACAGTTGTGCAGTTTCTCTTCTATTGCCTCCCTCACGATTAACGTTTTCCTCGAGACTCAGTGTAACAGTCAATTTTCTTTTCAAACGGTTCCATATCAGATTCTCCCAAAAAGCCCAAAATGTTCCATTCTTCAGGATCGCGTTTGAAATATTATTTAATTGCCGATTCGCATGTGACAGATAGAATTTTTATAGTAAAATTTGGTTTTTTAAAGTGAAAAAATAATTGTTTCACATAATAATTTGTATAACTAATGATATGAATGTGCGTCCAGAAAAACATATACAATTAAAAAAACAATTATTTTTTAGAGCTTCGAAAGTTTTAGATAGAGGAAATGGAGATTTCATAGTAGTTTTATTATTACATTTTGCTGATTCCAATTTTGATAAAATGACTAGTTACATTTTTTAATCTTTTTTTTGACGTTTTCTTGACACATTTCCTTCAATATTTCTATCAATATTTATATTTTCCTTATTACTCTCTACCAATGCTCGCTCTGATGCTTCTTTCTTGAAATTGGCACTATACCTTCCTATCCACCCTTTGATAGTTTTTACTGTTGGTATTTCTTCCAAGGCAATTTCTCCTTCTACAGCTAGTTCTTCTAGGCAGGTATGCATATTTTCAGGTGAATAACGATCCACAGCTCTCAAGTTTCCAGCTAAAAAGTAACCTTGTAAATACTGAACCACCTTTTTTGATATACATTTTCCCCCACTCTTATTACCAAGTTTTAGGTTCTCTTTCAAGGCCCATCCTTTGTTGAGAGGAAACTCTTGATCGAGCCTAAAGAATTCAAGTTAGTCTTTTTTTTTGTAAGTTTATAAACAAAATAAACATAATTACCCTAAGAAAGAAGGTGAAATCGGCAATTCGGTGAGAAGAAGGGTGAAATCGGCGATTCAGAAAGAGGGAGACAAAACAAGAGGAAAAGAAGTGAAGGAAATAAAAATATGTTAGAAGGAGGCAAATTGAGTATAGAAGGAGAGGAATGGAATCGAAATTAATAGATGAAATTGGCGAAATCGATGAAATCGGCGAGAAGAAGGGTGAAATTTGCGATTCAGCAAGGAGAAGGGTAAAATCAACGAGAAGAAAGAGGAAGACAAAACAAGAGGAAAAAATGGAGTAAAAATATATCAGAAAGAGGCGATGGAATCGAGAAGAAGAGGAATGGGGTCGAAATTAACAGAAGAAAGAAGGTGAAATCGGCGATTCAGAAAGAGGGGAGACAAATTAAGAGGAAAAGAAGTGAAGGGAGTAAAAATATGTTAGAAGGAGGCAAATTGAGTATAGAAGAAGAGGAATGGAGTCAAAATTAATAGGTGAAATCGGTGAGAAAGGTGAAATTGGCGATTTGGCAAGGAGAAGGGTAAAATCAACGATTCAGAAAGAGGAGCGATAAAATAAGAGGGAAAGAAGTGAAGAGAATGAAAATATGTTAGAAGGAGGTGAGTGGAGTCGAATAATAAAGATTTGAAGGATTAAAAAAAAGGTATGCTTATAATTACCTCTTGTAGTTTCTGACATTTCAACTAATTCATCATTGCTAACTAAATAATTATTTTAGACAATTTAAAAAATAATTATAGATGATCAAAAAAAAATAATTATAGACGATCAAAAAATAATTATAGATGATCAAAAAATAATCATAGATGATTATGTAGATAATATTAGTATAAGTCTTGTAATAAGGATTACGAAAGATAAAAAAAAAGGTATGCTTATAATTACCTCTTGTAGTTTTTGACATTTCGACTATTTCATCATTGCTAACTAAATAGATGATTAGAAAAATAATTATAGATGATCAAAAAATGATTATAGATGATTAAAAAAATTATTATAAATGATTAAAAAAATATTATAGATGATTAAAAAATTGTTATAATAATAAGGTAATAAATTAGTTTGCTGTGATTTTTAGTTGACATAAACATGTAACTGCTAATAAAATAATAATAACTTTATATTACCTATTTTTTTAGTAGGAATTGGTATTATCCAGGGATTATTGGATTGGTTTGATTTTAAAACTATTGGAGATGGTTTGCGGATATTATCACAAAGATTGATAAAGAGAAATTAGTCCATGTGCCAATATGAGGGAGGGGGCATGCACGAATATAGCGAAAATAGTGAAGATAGTGTAGTTAGTAAAAGACAAGAAGAAATGGTGTCAAGTTCTGAAATGAGAAAAAATCCACAAGATCTTTAAGAGTATGATGGTGATGTTTCATTAATATCACTTTCAATTTTGGAAAGATATGAAAATTTATCTTCAAGTTTATGAAGTTTTGAAGAAGAATCCAAAATTAAAAATATTAAAGAATTTTCAAGTGAAACTTATGTTGACTTGATGACTCTTGTTACTAAACATAATCTAAATAATCAAACTGGTAACGAAATTATAAATTTTTTTAACAAGCATTCTAATTTATCTATTTCTTCCCTTCCTAAAAATATTCTTATTAGTCAAAAATTCATGGATGATATGGATTTATCACACTTAGCTAATTATAAACATTGTATACTTGTTCATAATAATAATGAATATTTTATACACTATTATCCAGTCAAAAATTA